TTAGAAATCACTTTAGCATTTTTTTAATTATAGAGGAGTAAAGATGTAAATAATTATGCTTTAGTATTAAATACTTTTTATGGGATAATTTCATGTCATTTGATTCTTGTAGCAACCCTATGAAATAAGTAGTCAAGACTTACCCTGACTTAGAGAAGTAAGAATTCTGGTACATTGTAGTTGTTGGTCCACAGACACGTTAACTTGCGAACAGTGGAGTTAAGACTTAAACCATGAAATCCACATTGTAGTCAAGTGTTTTTTCCACAAGGTATTTAATGCAAGAAATAAATTTATAAATTAAAACTGATTTGGGTAGAGGGGAGACTGAAACATAAGTTCTTTTTTTTCTTGCCCTCTTTTATGTAAAGGTCCATGCAGAATCCTTACAGCAGGTGGTTAAATCCCAACGGGAAGTCACTGAAGTCTTACAGGAAGCAACCTGTAAAATAGCCGCTCAGCAAACAGAGACTGCTCGCCTCACCACAGACGCAGCTCGCCAGATCTGTGAGGTAAGAGCCCATGAGAACCCTTTTCTTTTTAGTTCTTCTTAGTCAATCTTAGTAACTCTGCTCTTACCAGTAACAGATCTCTAATGTCTAGTAAATACGTACTTTGAATTGGTGACTTTTACTGGGGCCGTACCCTACTGAAATGAGAGGCACTGTTGGTTGGAGTGTGTTGTACCTGTAAATGTTACAGAGGCAGAACAAAGACAGAGAAGAACTCTAAGTTTCTGCCCTCTGGTAAGCTTTTTAGAAAAGTATTGGCTTTATTGATGTAGAATTTACAAATGATAAAATGCACCCACTTTAAGTGTGCAGTTTGGTGAATTTTAACGTGTGTGTGTGTGTGTGTGTGTGTGTGTGTGTGTGTGTGTCTATGTCTATATCTCCCTATAACCACCACCATAATCAAGAGACAGATATTCTGTCACTTTTAAAAGTTCCTTCGTACCCCTTTGCAATCAGTCCCCAGTGTCAGCCCCAGGGAGCTGCTGACGTGCTTTGTGTGAGGATGGTACATTTTTACCCAGAATGATGTTAGTGTCTTTTCTTTTATTGTACCAAAGGTAAAGCCAAGAATAGTTTTATTACTGTCTCTATATAGGCTATCATAATTTATAGATACAATTTTCCTTTATTTTAGCAGTTTGTAAAATGACTCAGTTATTGAAATTTCATGAACCTACTATATGTTGGGTACTACGAGGTTGTACAAATAAGTATGAAATTGAGTTTCCTTTCTCAAGAAAATTTTAATGTAGTAGACAACATTAACAAAGATTTCAAAACACTTTAGTTCATCAGAAAAAGGAATAGCTCAAAGCAGTGAATGAAGAAATATGAAATGAATAATATATGTAGCAGCTGCAATAATGGTTAAGAGTAGCGAAAATGTATTTCACATTGTTGGTCCAAAAAGAGTTAGAAAGGAAGTTGTAACTGACTTGATTCTTAAGGAAGATTTAAGTTTTGGTTTAGTACTGCTTATTATGTGAGGCTTTTCTGTCTAGTTCATAGATTGTAATAGCTGGGTGAAACCTTATAAATCGTGTAGTCTAACTCTTTACTTTTATAGGATGAAGCTGTGGAGATTTAAAGAGCCTACAGTGACTTGGCCAAAACATTTCTTGTGTTAGTAGCAGAATTTGCTTGCTCTCAATTCATTGATCTTTCCAAGACACTGTGCACCTTCTCAGTTCTTCTTGATATTATCTCTTTACATCTACATTTGCCTTTCTTGGGTGTGTTTATATTTAGATGGCAGAGTTGACTCGAACTCATATCTCAGATGCTATAACTGCTTCAGGAGCTCCCCTAGCAGCACTGTATGACCACCAGCGGCAGCACTTTCCAGACTTCATGAAACAACTGAGTACCAGAGCGGAAACAGATAGGTTAATATTCATTCATTCAGCAAATATGTAATGAGTATCTCTTATGTCCTAGGTACTATTCTGAGTACTGGGAATACAGTTATGGGCGTACAGTCTAGTAGGGAAGATAAACATTAGTCAAATATTCAGTGAAGTGAATGAACACTTACAAACTGAGATAAGTGTTATGGAAGAAAGGAACACGTATCTCAGAAATATGTAACACAGGAATTTGAATAGCCTGGGGTACAAGGAGATCAGAGAAGATTTTCCTAAGGAAGTAAATCTTATGGTGAGATCTGGTGGATGAGGAGTCAGTGATGTAAAGGATGTAAAGAATAGGCAGATCAAAAGCCCTGGGCCAGGCACATGGCTCATGCCTGTAATCCCAGAGCTTTGAGAGGCTGAGATGGGAGGATTGCTTGAGGCCAGGAGTTTGAGACCATCCCGAGCAACGTAGTGAGACCCTGTCTCTACAAAAGATAAAAACAAATTATCTGAGCATGGTGGCTTGCACCTGTAGTGCCAGCTACATGGAAGGCGGAGGCAGGAAGATCTCTTGAGTCCAGAGTTTGAGGCTGTAGTGAGCTATGATCATGCCACTGCATTCCAGCCTGGGTGACAGAGCAAGGCCTTGTCTCAAAA